CTGGATGAGCTTTAATGTCCCTTCCCACTCAATCCATACTTGGATTCCATGATCTGCAAGAAGAGTGGAGTAGCTCTCTCTGAAGGTTTGTGAGGGCTGAGAAAACACCCAAGAGTGAATTCCAGACACGCCTCCATCCCCGTTTCCTCCTGGTGACACCATTCATTTGAGTACCCTGATAAAAACCTTGACACGAGCCAGACAGATTTCATTTCCCCCATTAACAGCTGTGACTTCCTCTGTTTAATCCCCCTTAAAGAGCTGTTTGTTCTTCTGGACATTGAGTTTTAATGGAATTGCCTGCAGCCTCCTCTGTGCCAGGGATCTACCTGGGTAACAAACCCATCTTTTCCTTTAAAATTTCCTTTACTACAGGTCAGCTGCCTGTTGAAAATGGAGTTCAGCATTAAGAAAACAACACCCCACCGATTCAGCCAATCCTCTAAACCCACTCATTTTTGTTTGAACTTCTCATACATCTTCACCCATCTTATTTTTCATATCTAAGTGATTACAGCTCGAATCCTTGAGCTTCCAGGGTCACGCTGGTACAATTTTATTGATTAAACTCGATCAGACCTTGAATTCTTCCCCATTTGCTTCAAGAATTTATAAAAGCCACTCTGAAAAGCCATGAGGAACCAAGGGAACTCTGTCATTCAGCAGGTTCTGTAGCACAGCAAGAACAGAGGTGAGGAACAGCTCCTGAGAGGGAGGAAGCTGTGGATTTACAGAAGAGGATGAGCTGAAAATCTGAATGCAACAGAGCCTGAGATTCAAAACCCACCAGAGGACACTGCATCTTCTAATTATTGATGAGAGATTATTCCAGGCTGTGCTGGGTTTGGAGCAGCCTGGGATAGTGAGAGGTGTCCCCACCCATGGCAGGAGGTGGAACAAGTTGAGATTTAAGGTCCCTTCCAACCCAAACCATTCTGGGATATAACCAAGTGACTTCTCATAGCTCTGAAATCCATCTACATCCCTCAAACCAACATTTCTCAGCAAAGTTAAAGCTGTGTGCCATCATAAATGCTTTCTGAAAGTCAGAATGTCCCCACAGCTCCTTCAGTCATGACCTACCCGAGGCACATGGATCTGGGAATTCTCTACCACAAGCAACAGCAGAAGCTACTTTTTTATTATTTTTTTTTCTTTCCCCATTTATCTAAATTCCCTGCTTCTGCAAACCAACACTCTTTAATTAAATATTTAACTAACTAACCTGATTCATCAGCTCCAGATCAAAGGTCTCCTCAGCAAGTGGAAGGAGTTGGTACTGTGGAAACACACATTTTATTTTTTACATGGCACTATTATTCAAATCAGAACAGCACAACTGAATTTCATGGCTTCACAAAGCCCAGCCTGTCACACAAATGTGGATTTAAAACACTTTTGATTCATATTATTTAAAAATCCACGTAAAACACTGGATGTTATCAGACTGATTTGGGAAGAACACAATTCCCTGTGCCTGTTTTCTAAAGCATCTCCACTGGCCAGCTGCCAGCACAGTCCCACTAAAATAGTTGCATTTATTCCACCACAGGTGTTTTGGAACAAGTGTCAAAGCAACCAAGCTGCAGTGAAATAAAAGCAGAGATGCCTGTCAGGGAAGGGATGTTTCTCTCATGATCTGCTCTGGAAATCCCCTTCTCTCTGGAAAAAGAGGAGAAAAGAGGAGGCTTTTTGGCAGTGTCTCCAAAACTCATTTATAAAACACGTGTCCAAACAGCAACAACAACATGAACCTGCTCAGAAGGGCTGATTTGGGATATTTGACATGTACAGGGTCAGCTGAAGATGGAAATGCTTCAAAATTACGTCTTTAGATTATCCAAAGCTCCGTGGATATTTTTATAACTTCTCCACCAATGAAAAACAATCCATTATTTTTTCTGCCTGCCACCAGAAAAGAAAAAAAAAATGCTTTTAAATTTTAAACTCTAAAGCAAGAAACTCTTCCTTGTCAAGGTTTAGAACATCACACAACTCCAGAGGACAAACCAGCCAAATTCTGTTGTTACCTGAGCAATTCTTGACTTGTGCTTCTGATCTCTGCCAACAATTTATTTTGAGAAAAAGTGCCAAATTCATCCCAATTCCCCCCAAAACATCTCTTGAAGTCCTTTCGAGTCTGCCCTTTATTCCCAACTACCTGAAGCAAATCTGAATTTTTCTGGGTGATCCAAGAGATCCCTCATCCCCAAGTCCAAGAACTGCCCAAACTTCCCCTTCTTCCAGAGAATTAAGACAATAAAAGCAGCCACAAAAATCACAAAGGATTTTAATTTCCGTCATGAACACACAACAGGTCTTTCCAAGGCAGAGTTACCAAACTGAAATTCAGCAGCTGAGAAAACAGTGTGAGCTGATGTAAATAAGCCTTTGCTATTTATTAGGGACATCCACACAACACAGGTGATTATTTAAATAAAAGGAATCAAACCACGTACACAGAAAATACCAGAAAATTACACTGGCCATGATTTATTACAGAATTCTCCTAGGTCTGAAGACTCTCACACATGAAACACAAACCAAATCAACACAGGTGGACATAACAAGGCATCCTGGTGTTCCACAATAAAAAAAAAATAAAAAAAAAATAAAATAAAATGAAAGGAAAAGCAGATGAAATTCCCAAGTTAAGGTGCACCAACACCCTGTGGCATCAGAGTCCATGTGTGAAGGGGAATTTTAAGGATGTTACACAAGAGGTAGAAGTAAGATTTTTGCAGCGTTCAAACATCCACAGTTGTTTTACAGAAACACTTAATAAGCCTAAATTGATTAATGATTAAGAATCTTGCATAATCAACAATTTGCTTTTTTTAAGCTAAGTTATAATTTCAGGTATTTCTGCTGGGCCCAACTAAAATCTCCTTCAGTAATATTTCACTAGCAGTGTAAAATGGGATATTTTAAGGAAATGAGTTTGACCAACACACACATAAATTATACACTTCAGACACCAAACAGTAATATTAAAATATAGATGCTATTCATCTTTATATATCTGTCATAAAAAATAAAAGGAAACTTATTTTTCCCATCTCTATCTTGGAAACAGCCTAATTCTGTGAAAAAAACTATGCTCATTAAGTTACTACTGTGCATAAACAAGTTGTGTTTTATTCAGTAAAAAACATAAAGCAATCTTTGTCTGGCAATGATTTTTACTCTGATTTATTCTCTAACCAGTGCTTTTTTTTTTTTTTATACACTATATGCAAATATTTTCCTTTTTAAAGCTCATTTGGCAACAAGCAAAGAGGATTTAGAACTCCAGTTCCTCAATTTGTTTCAAAGTTGCTCCTAACCCAATATATTTTCAATCTCTAACAGCACAGACATGTACATTAAACACATTATTCTGCACCTTTGATTACAGTATTGCTAATGAAGAAAAATAAAGACCTTCCATTCTATATCACTGATAAATTCGCTTGGCAAAGTTATTATTTCATTTTAGAGAATTACAAAGCAGTTCTCTACCAGAAAAAAAAAAAAATAATAATAATTGATAAAAATCAGACATCTCAAGTGCTACAAACCAAAGGAAAAATAAAGTGCTGGTGACTGCCATGGATGAACTGCACAGGGAATAAATCAAGGTCTCAGCATGGTTAAGGCTCTATTTCCCTCCAAGCAGAACAGGAGAAAACGAGGTGTGAAAATTCCCAGAAACAGCCCCAGTTTCTGCAGCAGGTACATTCCTCAGCTTGAAGAGAAAGCAAAATTATCCCAGCTAATTCCAAGGATCCCTAAAAAAGAGGCTGGGAACTCATCCCTCCAGAGTTAATGATAAATGTTCAAGGTGAACGCTGAGCTTGTGGTTAACGAGCTCCTGAGCTCAAGGTAAAGCAACAAAGCCAAATCCAGACAGAAATCTCTTAAAAACTGTGCCTTCAGTGGGAGCAGGACCACACTCAGCTCTTCAGCAGCCCAATTATTCCAAAATAATAATTAAAATACATATTCCACAGTCAACTGCCCTCATACTGACTGATGTGAAGGGCTCCCTGCTCCTGGATCAATCTATGAGCACTAAATAATCAAGAACCCAAAGTTCTTCCACTTTTAACGACTCCATTGGGAAAAATAAATAAATCTGTAGCAGACTGTGGCTGTAAAGAATTGAACATTTAGTTTTGCAGCTAAAATCACATACTCTGCCACAGAAATAAAGATATAAAGAACAAAATCCCCAAAAACTGTGCTTTGGGCTGGTGCCACTATGAAGTATTTGCCAAAATTGCAGCTCTCAATCAAAGAATAGGAAAAAAATTAAATAAAATTCCAATACCCAGCTACCAGAGCAGGTAAAAATATAATTAAAAAAAAATAAACATATAGGCTTAAGGTCTGTTTGTTGCATAATTTTTACAGTATTTCAACATATAAAAAAAAAATCCAGCTTCCTGCAGAATCAGAGCTATGACTTCATGGTGACTTAGTGAAGCAGAAGCCAACTCTGCCCAAAATCTCAGCAGCTGCACCCTGACAGCATCCAGTAGGGAAAAGAATCTTGATTCAAGAGAGGATTCCTGGTCCCTCAAGCCTTCCTCACCATGGAAACCAAAAGAATGAGCCTCTCCACTGGAATTTGGGCTCCTGGAGGCTCCTTCCTTCTTGAAGCTCCCTTTTCCTCCTTTATATCCCCCCAAAAAAGGGTTGCAGATCAAAGACAATCCCAGGAAGTTGTGCTGGTGGTCACCTCTGGAAAAGTGCCCAGGAGCTTTCCACAAAAACCTGGGGGATCCCCACACTTCTCTGAGAAAAAGAAATAACCTCAACAAAGCCTCTCACTCACATAATCCCCACCTTAAACCTTTCCCTCCAAGAAAAACAACCAGGAATAACCATAAAAGACTTATTGTGAACTACAGCAGCAGTCCTAAGGGAAATAATTTCCAAATTTCACATGACCAGGAATGTGAAACAAAAAAAGACCAAAAAAACCCGAACAAAAAAAAGCAAAACAACAAAACAAGAAGAAAAGGCAAAACAGAAAAGACAAAAATATTGGTGGGGTGGTAAATGCCAGCAGCAAAGAAAAATATCCAGTTTGGAAAGGATAAAATCCAGTAGCAGCAGTTTGTGAACGAAATGTCACCCACTCCTGAAAAGGCCACAAGCACCACGAACTTAAATAACCTTCCCTGCATGCTGCTCTAATGGAAATAACAAATTAATACCCATTTTTAGTTTACATAAATAGCATCAGAGCAACTTCACTGCCAGAGGGACCCTGTGGATACAGAAAAACAGGGATATAAAACCTACAACCAGAAAAAAAAATAAAAGAATGAAGAGTTCTTTCCCTGCTGCTGGCCTCCCTTCTGGGAATTAAAAAGGTTGAATCACCAAAAAACTCCAGTTATTTATGGAGAAATAATTGTAATTCTTAAGTCTGTGTTGTGCTGGACTACCAATCTGTGATTTTAAAGTATTAAAGATTCACTACCAACCCTCAAAAAGCACCTGATAATAATCCTGACTCAAAAAGGGACAACTGAGTATTGATTTAAACTGGAGCAATCCCTGCCACCAGGACTGGCTACAACTCTGCCACCTTCTTCATCTCACCCCCAAAATTTAAAAAGTATAAATCAAAGCAGGGAAAAAACACCCCATTAAATCTCAAGAAAGCTGAGTGGAGGGGTAGAAGTGGGGAAAAAAGGGGAATAAACTGAATTTTACCTCACTGCTTCTCAAAATGGGGAGGGAAAGGGGAATTTGCTTTTTTCTCTCCAGAAATCAAACCTAACTCCAAATCAAAACCACCTCTTTGGCTTAAGTGTGACCCAAAACCTCAATTCTGCTTTCCCTGAAGTCAGTAAAATGTGAATACAATTAGTCCCTAAAGCCACAAGCATCATACTTGTGCTTATTCACACCAAAAAAACAGTGCAAGACTTGCAGAATTTGTACCTTAAAATTGCCAAATTAAACACAAGGCAGCAAAAATTATGACAGAGCTGCTGCAGCCCCAGGTGTTATTTTACAAAATAAAGTGGGTTTAATAAAGTGTTATACAAAATAAAGTGGGTTCTTTTCCCTTAAAATGCAAAAGAATTTGTAATAAAACAAGAGAAGCAGAGCAGAAATTAAGAACTGAAGACAAAACTCGTTCTAGGTCTGATACTGTTCATAACAAACTCATTTATAGAAAAGGGCACTAAAAAAAGAAATCATTCTTGTTTGAAGATCTGGAGTTTTTGTGAAGAAAAGAGAGCGAGGCAAAGTGAAACAGGAGCATTTGTGGGGCATGACAAGGAGCACCTGACCCGGGCACATGATCCAGGGGGACATTCCAGAGGCACAGAGCTCCTTAAAGAACCCAAACCTGGATGATCTCGTGTGTGCAATTAACATAATTAACAATGTGTGTTGATTACAGTCACGTGCAGCCACGTGTAACCCTTTAAAATGCATTTTTAAACTGAGAACAGGAGAGACCACACAGCTTTTTAACACTCTGGAAAAATGAGGCTGTTAAAGGCACATTAACTATGAACTAATTAAGATCATTAATTAACAGATGAGCAGTACTATAAGAACCAATCATACCCTAAACCACTACAAAACAACCCTGGTTCTGTAAACAGAAAAAACCCCCAAGATTCAGACTCTCAAATTCTGATTTCCTGTCAGTACAGCAATGGTAAATTAATTTTAATTTGGGCAATTACACCCCCAAATCATCCACAAACTGAAATACTGCAAACTCCTCTTTTAAACTGTGGAGCACAATCAGTTTCACAAATGCAGACTGACCCTTCTTAAATCAGTTTGTGCAAATAAATTGCATGTGCACACAGAGGAAACACTGAAATAACTCTGGCATCTGTTTGTTAAGGCTGAAAATAATCTGTTAAGTGGAATTCACTTTCTTTAGGGGAAAAACCCATAATTTTGCTATAGTAAGAATCTAATTTCTATCCACTTTTGCTTTTAAACTTGGTGGATTGCAATGAGGCCTGGGTAAATTTTAGCTACAAATTTCCACACCCCAACAGAGTTAAGGGTGGCACTACTGAGACAAAATCTGCTCTAGAAACATCCACAGATCCAGAACTACACAACTGCATTTGGAACACTTTTGCAAGTACAAATATATATGGGAACAGTTCTATAATTACCCACAAAAATGTCAAATTTGACACTGAACACCACATGATATAAAAATCTTCATTTTTGTCCTTCAAATTTTGCTTATATCCCCAACTTAATTCACTTTTAACCCAAGAACTGCTCTCCAAAGCTGTTCATTAAATCCTGACACTCAAGAACCTTAATTATTAGTACATGCTAGGAGATTGTGTAACAGTAAGACAGCTGTTAAAGCATTAAAATATTCCTAAATACCCTAAGATTACACCTTGAGTTAATGATTCTTTACTAATTTTCACCCTGAACAACCACACTCTGATTGTCTAAGCCATACAGTGGAGACTAATTAACAGCAATTAAATATATTAAACCTTCCACACCAACAAAAAATGATCAGTGAAACAGCTTTGGTAACCTAGTACATAGTTAGTTTTGTGTAAATATTTTGCAAACATCCCTTTCCCAAAAAAATCCCTATATACCACATGTATATTTATATAATAATATACAGAGTTCCTGAGTAAATCCTTAAATCTGATTATTCGGAAGATTTGGCAAAATATTTCACTTCCTATTACTAAAATAGATTTTTAAATAAACATTGAATGGAGACATTAAAATAAATATGGAATGTGTCTGAGAAAAATTATAGTACCATGAACATACATTAATAACAAATAATAGTTATTTTAATTAAGTGCATTCTATGTTATATTGTTACTGGTTTTCAACCCACTGAGGAACCAATAAACCTAATTTCTAATCCTGAGCAAGTTTTCTATCACCTGCTAATGTGCATTTCCATGCAGTTCACACTGCAAAGCTACAAAATCCACTTTTTTAGTGGAAAAACCAAAGCGGGCAATTCAATGGAAAAAGCTCTGTTTACACCGGTTTTGCTGGAAAACTGAACTGGCAGCACAACTGCTGAAGCCTGTCACACAACCAGTACTGAACACTGATTATTCCTGTCAAACTGAGGGAAAATCTGTCACCAAAAGCCACCAGCACAGCAGCATGGATTGCTCCCGGCACAGTGAAAACTACTCGGTGATCGCTTTGGCTCTGGAAAGAACTACACACGGTGCAAAAAATAAAAATAAAACCCTGAACGATTATTGAGGACCTTTAAATATGCTAAATTGTCTCACTGAGCAAAAGAAAAGGAGAATTAAGCTCTACCACGCTCTGGTTGCTCAGGTCCTGGCGGGACTCAGAGCTTTGGGTGGAGGAAATGCTCAGCTCTCGTTCAGCTCCTCAGAACATCGAAATTCTCAGCAGCAGAAAAACTGCACTGACACCACCACAAGCTGTGTCTCTCCATACCAGAATTCCAGTACCACAACTGCACTGAGCAGGCACCTTAATTAACCCTTTTTGCTTCCTGACATCCTATGAAATCCACCTCTCCCGGTGCTGGGGAAGACCCGAGCCCTTCCCTCCCATCCTCAGCTTTCCTTTTATCATCTGCGCTTATTCCAAAATCTTCGTCGCTTCCTCAGCTTTTTCACTTCCTCTGCTTTTGTGCTCCACGCTGCTTTTCTCTTGGGTGCTTGTGCTTGAAGGGCAAAGCTCTTGCAGTGTCCCTTGAAGGAGAAGCTGTTGATTTTGGGGTCTGGCTGGAGGGGATTTTGGCAGAGTCCCCTGAAGTGCGCACCAGAGCGCGGTGCGGGCCCTGCGCGTGGCACCAGCCAGGGCTCGCAGGGCAGCTGCCAGGGCCAGCACATCTGCAACAGGAAAAACACATCAGTGGACAAGCCTGGGAATGGTATCCATTTATATATTTTCTTTTTTTAAAATTGCATAAATTTGTTCAACTCACAGCCTGGAGCAAACAGTGCTCAAGGAGAAGCTGGAGCTGCACCATTAATGACAGCTACAACATCTCACGTGAATTGTCTGTGCAAGAAGGGTCCAAAATGCTGCAAAAGGGTCCAAAATGCTGCAAAAGGGGCCAAAATGCTGCAAAAGGGGCCAAAATGCTGGTGGACACCGGGCAAACTGGTCTGCCGAGGCTGCAGGCAGTTTTTTGATTTTGCAGGAAGAGAGCACTGATTTTTGGATGGGTGAGTAAAAGCACAAAGATCTGGTCAAATACAGAGATGAAATCTTAAAGCAGCTCCACAGGGGATTTGTTTGCAACTGTGAATCCTGCAAGGCCAGGGATTGCAAACCTGCATATTTCCAGCCAAAACTGCTGATACTACAACCCTTCAAACACAGATTGTTGATGAAATCTGGGACTGAGCTGCTCCTTCACTCCTCTGGGAATTCAGGAAGGGAGGGGATCTCCCCAAAACCTGTGACTCAGCAGGAGGGACCAGGACCTGATGATGCCACAACTTGTAACAGATGATAGAGCTGTATGTTGGCAATATTTGGATGCTGTATTGGCATTAAATCTAATCATAATCATCCACTTAACCACTGTCCTACTTCTCCTGCCTGGCCAAGAACCTTCCTTCTACTCTTCCTGACTCCCACTTGGAGTTAAAGTCACATGGAAGTTTTAGGAGTCACTTTAAAAGTCAGTTTGCATGTAGGACTATTGTTTTAAGGGCATGACACTTTACATTCATTTTGTATTTTAATTTTTGGCACCTGAATTGCAAAAGCAAAACATTTTGATTCTCTTTCCATCTTATCTTTCCCCTGCAAGAAGAGCTATTCCACAGCCAAAGGAACCTCCCTGCCCACTTCAGCAGAAAGGAGTCACAGGTATTTTCTCAAGAAAAATAATATAATCCTTAACCCCAAATCATAAATTGCCACGTTTAGTGCTGCTACAGGTTATTCTGGCTTTACTGCAACAGCATTTGGGAAACATGGAATGTCATTCCTGGTGGGTTTGTGGTTTAGGTAAGGTAGACAGACAATTGATTTGCACAACACTGGCAATTTTGTTATTATTTTATAAGCTGAAGAGAAAAGACAGTTTAGCCATATCAGGAAATAGTTCTACTTGCTTAAAAATGAGCACATTTTTGCTTTAGGACAACCACTTATGGCTATATAATGTCACTGAAGAGTTTTTACAGTTGTCACCTAGCCAAGAGGAAAAAACTTCAAAGTTTTTAAACTAGTAACAGGAAAACAACAAAAAAAACAATAGAACTCAAAGTAATTTAAAGTCTTAAAAGGTAACAAGAGTGTATTTGCAAACTTTCTTTTGCCAAGGTGACAAGAATTGCTGTGTATTGCAAATTTACATTTTTAGGTGGAACATATTCAGAACTTAATCCCTGAAAAAGCTTTGAGGGCTCCAGGAATGGGCAGCACTACCTTTCTCATTGCTATAGCGTGGCACCCCATGACTCTGGGGGTTTGCAGCATTCCCAATCTCATCCTTCCGACGTGCCTGGGTCACCTGAATGGCTTCCAGGTGGAGCTCCAAGGTCCTGGAGATGTTCCTGTGCACAGGAGCACCACAAAGCCTCTCCATTCTTCCTATCAGCACGAGCACCTGGCAGAAAACACCAAAATCACTGAGCACTGGTTGAGAAACAAACAAATCCTGAAGGAACTGCAGCTCCACCAGGCCTACCCTGGCTCGTTCCCGGGACTGGTCGACGATCAGGCGATCCACGCGGGATGGGTTCGCGGGGAGTCGGGACATGGGGCAGGTGCTGGAGCTGGAGATGTGCTGCCCTGGGAAGTGTCTTGCAAGGTCAGCCTCAGTCTGAAAGGGAAATGATTTGTCAGTGTGAGTGCTTGAAATTAGTACAATGGCATCAATCCGGTTTTTGGCGCTGTGTGGAATTTTCGAGCGGATTAGGAGTGAGCGCCCTAGCAACTTCGGTCTGCCCTGACAGAAAAACATTCCCAAATATCCCAGAATGGTTTGGCTTGGAAGGGACCTTAAAGCTCATCTCATTCCACCCCCTGCCATGGGCAGGGACACCTCTCACTGTCCCAGGCTGCTCCAAGCCCTGTCCAGCCTGGCCTGGGACACTTCCAGGGATCCAGGGGCAGCCACAGCTGCTCTGGGCACCCTGTGCCAGGGTCCCACCACTCTCACAGCAAAAATTTTTTCCCAAATCTAATCTAACCCTGCCCTCTTCTGGCTTAAAGTCATTCCCCCTGACCTATCACTACATGGCCTTGCCAAAAGTCTCTCTCCAGCTTCCTCGCAGGAATATTTCTCTAATTCAGCTCTCCCTCAGAGTTCAACACCTCTCACTGCTTCTCTCAAGTGTCACATGTTATGGTTATTAAACAAACAGAACCAGGTGATAGCAGCAGCATAAATCACATCTCAAGTGCATCAGGATGAAATCACATTTAACACAAACTGGTACCACCTCTTTAACAGAGAAAATCTTTAACAGAGAAAATCTTTAACACAACAGCCAAACTTCTGCTGAGAAGGAGTGGCTCAGCCAGTGTCTAACACAGACAGTGACTAAACATCACCAAACCTATTTCTGGATAGGAAATTCTTACACGTGGAATAAAAAAGACACAGCTAGCAGTAGATTCCTTATGTCCTTCCTCCTCCAGGGTACCACGGATGTAGGAGAGAGGAGTCAGGTGCTGCACTGCCATTCAAGGCAAGGCTAATTCCACATTCTCACTGTGTGTATTTGTACTGAATTTGAGAGGAAGTCCTTCTCTTTTTGCTTTACTTCCACATGATTTAGTCCCTGCCCTGGTCCAACATGGATAACAAGAGCTGATTCCACCTGTACTCATCATCTGAGGAGCCCGAGAGGCATCCAGAAAAAAAAAGGACAGAGAAAGGGTCATGGATTCTTATAACAACACCAGAATTAGCTAAGAATTACAGCTAATAAGCAATTAACTAAATTACATGCACATTTAATATTGCAGACAATTCCTAACTTGTGGAAATGCTTTAAGTGTGAGATCCCTGGAAAAGTGGGGTTTATGATAAGCTGTGACCCCAAAGCTGCAATGAACAGGTTTCAGAAAGCTGAAAAGGCTGAGTGATCAGACAAGGTGGAGAGAATTAAATCAAATCCCAGGGGGAGTTTCCATCTTCTTGCAGTCATCCCCTCCTGAGGAATGTGGTTTGGCTGTAGGAATGGGAGCCAGGCTGTGGCAGCTGGCTTGGAGGACTGAGAACAGTTTATATTCCGTAACCACACAACGCCCTGAGCAACCCAGAGCAGCTCACAGGGATAAAACTGGATCACTTGGAATGGACCAGATCAAAGGGTCAAAAAAGCCCCTTTCATTAATAAGTACGAGGATAAACAACCCTCCTTTAATGAAGAAACAAAAAGCAGGAGACAAAAACTACGACTTGGTCTTTGTAAATGACTAAATTGTCCCAAATCCTGCCTGAGAACAGGAAACACTGGAGCAAGAATCATCCCTTTCTGACTTCCAGAGAATTCCTGGAAGGCCAGACAGGCAGAGAGGAGTCTTGTTTAAAGGCATCCATTGGAGAGCAGCACAGGCACTTCCATTCACACTTCCAAAAGTCCATTAGCAAGGTCCCCCAGCTGATGATGGAAAACAAAAGGTGTTTCCCAGGTCTGTTTCCTCAGACACCTTTTTCCAATGACCAGGAGGTTTCTCACACGTGGAAGCAGCCAAGGACTGGGTGCATAATTAGAACCAGGGGTTATGGACAATTCGTTTTCTGAGACCTGGCATGAATTCAGGGATTTGACTCCTCTTAGGAACGCTCTTCCTGATTCTTTAGAGCACAGAGCTTTCATTCCCAAGTGCAATACCCTCATTATCAGTGAGATCCTTCCCTGCCAACAGTTCTGGGAATGAGCCTGAGGCAGGAAAGTGACCATAATGAGAAGAGCATAAGCTGAAATTTCCTTTGAAAACAAACAAAACACTGTAGGTTTTCTCTACAAATAGAGGGTGCCCAGGATTAGTTACTTCATTTTCTTTTTTACTAAAGCCAGAGATTTACTACAACAAGGAAGGAAAAAAAAAAAAAAAAAGAGAAAGCTGCGGCTGTATCACTGACAGTAAAAACCCAAACCAACAAAAATAACCCCAAACCAACAAAAATAAAATAAAAAAAGTCCCAACAAACCAAAGAAGAAACACCATAGAACTTTCTCTCTTAAAACCAGCCAAGTCTTTATCAGGAATCATCACCAACTGTGCTTTACCTTCTTCCTCTCCTTCTCCAGAGCTCTCCACTGCTCGTAGCACTCCTCCAGTCGGATGTGGAGCTCGTTAGCAGGGCCACTGCGGCTCCTGGGAGCTCTGTACTTGTTAAATGGGGTTGGAAAGGCAAAGCAGGGGGCAGGGATTTCCCCAGAGAAGATATCATTGATGAAGGGACTCAAGGGGTTAAAGTCGTCGCAGTGAAAAAGATCAACAAGGTCCGGGAACGGAAACGGTGGCGGAGGGAAATTAAAATTATTTCCTGATGAGAGCAGTTGGTGATTAAACGGAGGGAAGCTGGGATTTTGCTTAAAATCAGACATGAATGGGAAAGAAGGAAGCAGAGAAGGATTGATGAAATCTGACAAGCTGCCACCATTTTGCTCGTGCTTTTTTGGAAACGCGTCGAAGGGCTGGCGGTTTGGAGCTGCAGATCCCAAATGAGGGATCCAATTCGTTCTACCTCTTCTATCATCTTTATTGCCACTTTCCTGGCTCTGCCTTTTTGGGAACCTGTGGTATTTCTCAGCAGGGTCTCCACCTGCAGCTTTCTGCTGCACGAACCAGTCGGGCGAAAAGCGAACGGGGAATTTGCGGCGCCTCCCCTCTTTACTCATCCCCGCATCCTCCTGCGATCTTCCAACGGGTCTCACCTGCTTCTGGCTCTCTGAGACGAAATGAGGAACCCCCAAATGGCTGGGAACTCCGCTGGATGTTTGTAACCTCCCATCTTTCCTGGGAGGGAGGGCGGGAAGGAGCTGGGGGTAGTAGGAGGGCTGTGTGAAAGGCTGGTGGGTGGGAGAGCCCCCCGACATGGTGGAAACCCCAGATGAGGACTGGGGACTCGTGGCCATTTGTTTTCCACATGGAATTTCAGATGCAGCTGCCAGGTTTTTCCCATCCAGCCACGCACACCCCTGGTACGAGGAATAACTCCCGTTTTGCACAGCATTTTTCACAGGTAAATCATATCCAGCTACATGAGAACTTTCCTTAGGGCCCATATTCACTTTACACTCATTATTATTATTATTAAAAGCATCTCCCAAAGTAAAGCCACGATGGCCATTTTGCACATGGCTTTCCTGGGGTTTTCTGCCTGTTCCTCCAGAAAAATTATTTTCCTTAGTGGATTGATTGAAGAAATGAAGTGATGGATGGACAGGTGACTGCAGTTTGTGAGCAGCTGTGAAGTTTTCACATCTTTTAGAGAACAGCTGGCTGTCCTGGGATACTTTATCCCAAGAGTTATCACCAGGCTGATTGGAAAGATCAGGGGAATACTTAATTTGTCCTTGAGCATAATTTTTCAGAGCTTTTCCTCTTGCTCTTTCGCTTTTCCAAAGCTCCTTCTGCACGCTGGGGCTTTCCTTCATCCTGTTCTGAGGAGAAAAAGGGCTAAAACTGGAGCCACATTTTTCATAACCTCCATTTAACCTCCCGTGGTCGTAAGTGCACAGATGCTGGTTCCAGCTCCCACTTGGGAAGGAAAACCCTTCCTGGGGAGCTGTGGTGTTGTTCTGCCAAGAGGGATTCTCAGGGTAAGCGTTCATGGGGGCAGTGCTGGGATGAGCACGGGGAGAGAGCCAAGACTCGAGGAGCTGAAGGTCTCCCAGACCTCTGTGCAGCATCTCCACATCAGGAGGCTCCTGCAGGGGTTCCTGATGGCAGCTGGTGCCCAGCAAGCTGGGGAAATCCTTGTTTTGGACACAGTGCTGAGCTGGGAGCCCTGGGAACTCCCCATTGCTGCCCAAATCAGGTGCCCACAGAGGGGGAAACAATCTGGATAGAGAATTCCTGAAAGAGAGTTAAACAATCCTCCCGTCAGGATTTAAAACATTTCTTACTTTAAAACAATTCACACAAAACAATTCACACAATGGTTATTCCCCAGCTTTACATTATTGACCAGCCATGCACAGCTTTCCTCAAAAACAGGAGGAATATTCCCACTGCAGTTGAAATGCTCTGTGAAATCCCATCACCCAACTGTTTATCTGATGCATGTTCAGAATTGCAGGGTTTGTTTGGATTTATTTTTATTTAATTGGATTTATTTATATTTAATCTCGGATTCAGTGGAATCCGAGATTAAATATCTCAGATTCCACTGTAGTCAGTCAGCTCCCTACCAGTCAGAATTAATTATCATCTTTATTTCCTCCTCAAATTCTGTAAAGCTGAGGGAAAACTTAAAAAAAATTTGCATTTTTAACAGTTCAGTTTTCCTGGGTTTTTGTGGTTTTTTTTACTGGCAAGTGAAGACACCTCCACATTTTAAGGGGATTTAAAATGCTGTCATTACTCAACTCTGAAATAATTAAAAATGTGTATCATATCTGTGTGACAATGGGCATAAAAACCAGCACACAAATGACAAGAACTCTCAGAACAAACTTACCAATCTGTAGCTGGTTCTGGTTTGTTTGGCTCCTCTAAAATGCTTGACACCAACCCAAACATATCAGGCCCATTGCCAGAGTAATTAAGATTTATTGGTGCCCTGAAAAATGAAGTAAATAAACAACAAAGTAAAAGTTTTAAATAAGTATTTTTCTCCTAAACAAAACAGGCAAGAAGAAGAGGATCAGACTTTTATTTTAGCAGCATTTTCTAGTTGTTCTGAATTTAATGTATCCTGAGCATCCCTCTACAGAAATCTCTTCCTGCATTTGTGAATTCTGTAGTCCAAGTGAAGTAGAATTATTTTCCTTCTTGCTTCACCAGAGACTTTCCAAGCACCAAAAATTTTTCTTTCTTTCCAAGAAACAAAACTGTTTCATGGACATTCCTTCAAACCTTGACTGTCTTGTTTAGAGCATAAATACAATCAATATTCTCAAAGTCTGGAGCATTCTAATTTATCTGCTGCCAAATAATTCAAAACCTATTATATTAATCCCAGAAAATAATTTATTTACTTAAGTTGGACCACTTTTTAATGCCCTTTTGGACAGAGGTTTTAGTAAGTATTTTCTTGGTCAAGTTAGTTTCTCACTCAAGTCAGTTAGTTTCTCACTCAAGTCAGTTAGTTCCTCACTCAATAAAAGAACTAACTTAGTAAAAGAGCTAACTAACTATCTCTGGTAAATACCCAAGGTTTTCCACAATTTTTAAACAAACCTAATTTTTACTTCAGGTGTAAGATTAGATTTTTATTGAGTTGCTCATAATGACTCCTGACTCTTCCTCACAACTTAATTAAAACAATGCTGTTAAAGATTTCCTTCCCTCCATCCTCGTTGTTTTGCTCCAATAAACTTCCCTCCCCACCTTGTTCTGATTCCTTTCAGTGTCCCTGAAGATCTTGGAGTTTTCCCTGGTGCCACCTTACCCAAACCACCTCAGCTGCCACTTAATTGCTCACTGACTCTGATGAACACAGACAATAAAATGTGAGACAAACTCTTATTAAAAAAATCATCTTTTTAATCTCTTGCCACTGGGAAAATCAGTGAAAATTACACCCTGTTGGCTTTTAAGACCTCACCAGTTTCACTTCTAACTCAGTCCCTGATTTACTCCATGACTGCTCAGTTTCCTCTCAAAGGGATCTGGATTTAATTTTGGATGCACTGAAGTGCAAAAACTCTTTTGAAAATGTTTTCTGAATGCAGACCTGATACTTGATAACCAGATCTTTTCTGTGTCTTGGTCAAATCACAATGTTTTTTCTTTTCCTATTTTTTTTTTAAGGAGACCTCAAGAAATTCTGAATATCTGCTGGCTCAGAATGGGTGTAGACATGGATTAACTCTAATTCCATAACTATTTTTTGTCTTTAAAGTTACCTTGCAATAATCTAAAGGCTGCTTTAAGAAAATACTTTCATTGGCAAATTGCCACTCCTTACTTAAAATTAACTCTTACAGTTGACACCAAAGCTGTGTGATCTTCTATTCAAAAGGTTTTTTGCAATGTATCTTCCTTAACTATTAATTTTCAGCACCTTGTGAGCCAGTGGACTCTGCTTTCTCCCCACCTCAGATTTTGTCTTTCTTATTAAGAAAATGATAAAAAAAATGCAGTGAGGTATTAGAAATGCTCATTAAAAGGGCATTTTCTCATCAAGAGCTGCTGTGTCAGTCTCTGTCACCCAATTCCCTCCAAAAAAGGCAATATTCTGTCACCACCACTCGGCTTTAAGATGGAAAAAAGAAAACTCCCCCACATCTTTTCCTCAAAACCTCAGTAATAACCATTACAGAACAAAGAAAATCCGCTGAGTTTCCAGAAACTCTCCCCAAAAAAATATCCAAAATCCCCATTTGTTCTTTAGCACAAGAATTGCAGTGACCCAGAAGCTCTGAGGCCACAGCAGGAATGCTGATACCTTTTCTTTGGGCACTCCTGGAAGGCAGTTTGGGATGCAAAATCCTCGGCACATCCCGGCCAGTCGTTGCACAGCCGGGAGGGCTCCGGAGGCGTGGGGGGACTGGGGACTGCTCCCAGTAACGGGGAGAAAAACTGAGTGTCCATGGTTGGCTTCCTGCTGTTTACCTGCATTGAACAGAGAAAGAAATATTTCCTTTTTAATATTAGATGTTCATCTAGAGAGCAGTAAAGGCAGCAAGGCAAAGCTTTGCTTTGATTTCCTGAACTAAACTGATTTTTCGGGAATGCGTAACGTAGCCACGCCAAAAGGATAAAGTCTAAATCGTGTTCCCTCCTTTGCCTTATTAAGGCAAATTTAATAATGATTAATTAATAAAATTAATAAATTAACCCAAATCTGTCTTCTGAAAATAAATATGCAAGTAACAGAATTGACTTACTGCACAGTAATAGGAATTCTCCACAGGTTTCACATTTTAGGTGTTGGCGTGGCACGTTCAGAATTGCCTGCTCTGTGAGACTGGGAATGCACCTGTCCCAGGCAAACACATCCCCTCTGGAAAACAAGAGCCATCATCCTTTTATAACCCCAAAAAACACAAAATATTCCAGTGAAGAGCCCATGGGAAGAAGGGAGGAGTGCCTGGAAACTCCACAGAGCAAAATGTGGGTAAGAAAGAAAGCCAAGTACTGCTGCAGAAAGTAGTATTACGAATAAATAATTTATTCAGAGGTTATTTATGCCAAGAAAGACTGGAGTAAATGATATTTGAGGCCTCTTCCATCCTGGAATTCTCTGAATTTAATTTATCTTCTTTACTATTAATCCCTGGCCCAGTGAAAGCTGTCACAGACTCAGATCTCCCTTCCTGGGTATTTTCTGAAAAGGTGGGACAGAAATATTCTCTGGTCAGGTGTGTTCCCACCAAGAGCAGGACAGAACAACCCTGCAGAGAATGCTTTTGAACTTAAAAAGTTTACACAGTTTATCACTTGCTGTGAACTGATTTTGCACATCCAGACCAACCCCTATTAAATAACAGAATTAGAGGTACAAGGACCGCATGGAGGCCACACAAATATCCTGTAAAATTCCATATAAATGCTGTCAGTATTTATGTCATTAAATGAGGCACAAGAAGAGCTCACACAGGGACATTCTGACCCTGCAGGGGAGGAGGAGGAGGGTGTGACCCACACTTTCTGCTCCAAGTGACTCCTGAACAAACACAGGCATCCCTTAGGATCCAGCAAGGCTAAAATTCCACGAGAATTTAGCAGCAAGCAAGCAAGAATTTAGGCAATGCCCAGCCTCTGGTGCTGTCTGAGCTTCCAGGAAACAGCAGACAGAGAAAAACCTCCTGCTCCTTGGCCAGCATAAAATACTTGTGCACAGATTAAAAATAGGATCTGTAACAAATGGATTTATGCTTTATTTTCAGAGCCATTAATCACTGCTGATGTTGAGTTGTGCAGGACAATGTGTCTAAAAGCCCAGGAGAAGAGGGACTCCGTGTACCCTAGATAAGGCTCAGTGCTTCCAAAACACTGGAGCCTGTTCTTCCACCCAGTCAAACATAAATTCTCTTCTGGGGTTTACATAGGAACCTCTAACAAGTTGAAGGAAAAAAAAAAAAAAAAGAAAAAAGAAAAAAAAAAGGATGGAATCACTCAGAATCTCAAAGTTACAAATCAATTAATTAAATGCTGCTTTTGGGAAAAAAAAAAAAAGAGGGGAAAACCTTCAATTTAAAAAAAAGAAAAAAAACTATAATTGAAAGAAATTTTAACTCCTACAGTCTTCAGTAGGGCTTTTACTTTATTCCCCTGCATATCCTGGGAAAGCCACTGGTCTTGATGAATTGCCTTCAAAAACAATAATAAAAAGTTACATCTAAAGCCCAAGTCATTTGGACTAATTTTTTTCATTCAAACAGTGAAGGAGCAGGCAAAAAAAAGTATTTACCAAAACTACTCACTATTTCCAGAAGCTTCACACATTTCTTTGTACCTAGATTCTCTTATAAAGTTAGAGGAGAAATAGGTGAGCACAACTTCATTAGTAAAAATGTTAAGATTTCCTGTATAAATATATATGAAATTAAATAGTATCAAAGCTCTTTGACATTGATATTGTTGTGGTATCTGTGACATATAAAAAGGAAAGATTTAGATCAGACACTGAGAGAAAGCTGTTCCCTGTCAAGGTGGGGAGGCCCTGGCACAGATTCCAAGAGAAGCTGTCCCTGCCCCATCCCTGGAAGTGTCCCAGGCCAGGCTGGAGCAGCCTGGAATAGTGGAAGGTGTCCCTGCCCATGGCAGGGAGTGGAATAAATTATTTTTAATGTCTCTTCCAAACCAAACCATTCTGGGATTCTGTGATCTGCAAGATCAGTGAAAGATGTGCCCGAGCCATTTTCCACACAGAGGCTTCTGCAGCTGGAAACAGAGACCTGTATCTTGTGAAAATCCTCCCTCTGCTGGGATTCCACAGCACTGGGAATACAGCAGGACACTCCCACGTTTTTCCTCATTACTGGAAGTGTTTTGTTCCCAGTGCTGTCCAGTAAAGCCCTGGAAGCAGTTCAAGACTTGTGGCTGTTATTGAGAGATGCCAGGAGCTGCTGGCAACGCACCCTCAGGCAGCCTGGAAGGAGTTTTAGGAATTTTTCATGGAGAATCCTAAATTATGCCAGGGTTATGAACATCTGGGGGACTGGAACAGAATTATTTGGGTTGGGAAAGTACCTGCAACTTCCAGGGTGCACCAAGCCCCATCCAACCTGACCTTCCAAGGATCCCAGGGGCAGCCCCAGCTTCTCTGGGAAACTGTGCCAGGATTTCTTCCTCTGTAGAGATGGGAAGAGCTTCTGGCTCATATTAGATTAAAAGTTCTCTGAAAAGATGTTTTATAAGCTGAAAAATAACATTATCACAGCTAAATATTACTTCTTTGTACAATCAGAAGAAACCCCTTTCACTGACACAAAGTCCCACATGACAGAATTCTTGGTTTTCCAAAAAGGCATTAAAATTAGCCAAAAGGCTTTTTTACAAAAATTAGCCAAAAGGCTTTTTTTTCAGCCAGTTATCCTAAAGGATAACTGCAGGATCTGCCTGCTCCAGAGCACTGCAAGAACATCCCTGATAACAGTAAACAACAGCACTGCAGCGTTGTCACAATCACACTGAGGGTATTCTGCTCTGATTTCTCAGCAGGATAAGTATTTCCTGTTTATTTCTTGGGTTTTGTTTCTTGGCAGGATAAAGCAAACACAAAAAAGCACTGATTTGGGGCGTTTTTAAGACTTTTAGTAACTCCCACCTGTGGATATCTTAATCTGTAGCACAGTGGGACCGCCTGACTCATTCAGGGTGCACTGCCAAGGATTCTCTGAAATCCACTGGGGAAAAAAAAAAAAATGAAAAAAAAATCCCAGAAATCTCTAAAATGCTTTTTTGGGTTTCCCAGGAAATGAAGAAGCAGAAGAAAACAGGCAACAAGGATGTGTAAAAAATCAAATTCAGGGGAGAAAATAGGTCAGTTATTCAGACCTCTTAGTCAGGGATAAAACCATAAAAATGGCAGATAACTGAAGATTTCCCTCTAAATACTGAACTCACAGCATCACAAAGACTTGTTGCAGCAGCAAAAGGAAATGTTCCTTTTCAGCAGCCAAAGAATCAAGTAACCTTTTTTTCCTGAGGAAAAGAACCCAAGTTTGCCAGACCCCTCTTAGCTGGGTCAAAGGCATTTTCAAAAAGCACCTTTTAAGGTGGGCTGTGTGTGGGAATAAATAACTAAAATAACAGTAATGAATAACATTAATATGTAGAAAAATCATGGCAGAAAAAATCATGAATTTATGAGGTCAAGATATGGGTTCTGTTGCCCAGTTACAATTAAGAATATTCACAGGTTCACAAGCCATTTGTTTATTTTGTTTTAACACAAGCATCTAAATACTGGCTGTTCATTTCATACTAATTAATATTTTTTTGGGTTTTTTTGGCTCCATGGTAACTTCCAGCAGTTTTCCTTCAGGACTTTGTGGTGAGTCTGACAAAGACAAGAAGAACATGGGAGGATCTGCTGGATTTCCATGAGTAGAGGATCACTCTTCTGCCCTGACACAAACAGAGAAAGCTGCTCCATCTGGGAGATAATCTCTCCAAATGCTGAGGTTTTTGTGTAGTGTGGTTTATTCACTACAAAACAAACACCTCACATGAGTTTTTATTTCTGATTCCCCACAGAAATTCAGTTTTGGGCTCACCTGTGGCTGGAAATGCCCAGGGGTGGCACTTGGACCATGTCCTTATTAGCAGCAGCCAGGTTCTCTCCTCTGGAGCGTGCAGCATTGCGTGCAGGCAGGAGTCAGACTCCTAAACACCAACTTCTCCTGTTGAAAAGCAATTAAAATCCAAAAAAAAGCAGTTACCAGGTCTGTCAAAGTTGTATTTACAAATAAAACTCATTTCTAGCTCCTCCCACTCACAGCCCCAGGGCTCCTCCAGCCCAGCCAGCCCTAACCCAAGGCAAGATGGGGAAATCCATCCTGCCAGGGAAGGGAACAAAGCTGGGAAGGGGCTGGAGAATTCCTGAGGGAGCTGGGAAAGGGGCTCAGCCTGGAGAAAAAGAGGCTCAGGGGGAATTTCTGGCTCTGCACAACTCCCTGACAGGAGGGGACAGCTGGGGGATTGGGCTCTGCTCCCAGGGAACAGGGACAGGAGGAGAGGGAACAGCCTCAGGCTGGGCCAGGGGAGGCTCAGGGTGGATATTATGGGAAATTTCTCTCCTGAAAGGGTGGTCAGGCCTTGGAGCAGGGAAGTGGTGGAATCCACCACCATCACTGGTGGAATCACCACTGTTCAAAAGGTGTCTGAACGTGGCACGTGGGGACAGGGCTGGACTTGACCATCTGAGAGCTCTTTTCCAAACTGAACAATCCCACACTCCCAAGATCCAGGTGGAATGTTCCCATTCCAAAATCCTTCCCTCTGCTCTCTGCACACCCCACTTTGACCTGTTCCAAGGGAGTGTCCAGCTGTGGCTGCCCCCTGCCACGCGTGTGACACTCCCCAGGCCACAGCAGAACAACGCCCTACACAAACCTACGGCTTCATCTCCACTGCCACAAAGCTTTGACTGAGCAAAGCCCAGGGCAGCTTTTACGATTAGGATAAATTAGGGTAAATTTTGCAGCAGCCAAATTCATCCTAATTTTAATTTTTCCCAGTTTTTATCCTAATTTTTATTCTCAAAACCTGACAGAGCAGCTGCTCCTGTCCTAAAGGAAGGAGATGATATCAGGCTGTACCCACATCCCACTGTGGCTGATCTCCCCCAAACTGCAGCACTGAGGATTTGGCTGATCTGGGTTTTGTTACCAGGAATGGGATCCTGCCACATCAACCTTTTATCAGCTATTTTTCTGTCTAACAATACACATTATTGATCTAGTTAATCATTACCTCAGGGACACAACCAACTTTAGAAATGGATCTCACAAAGCACTCATGGGATATCCCAAAGCCCAAATAACAACATTGATCTCTCTAAGCAGGAGCTACCTGAAATAATGGGAAAATCCCAAACCAATGCAGCTGCTGCATTTGGGCTTCACAAGGCACACAGGAATCCGAGGGAAGCTTAAAATTTACACAGCTGCTCCAAACAGGTCTGAGTGCTTTCCCTATGCTCCAGCCCCCTTCAGAAAAATGAGATTTTCTGTGCTCCCTGTCTGTGGCTGCTAGAAACAGAAGCTTCTTGCACTACTGGTAAATAAAAAGTGGATTCCAAATATTACCTCGGTATTTCAGGGAGATAACAGGGAAGGCCTGAAAATTTCCTCCTACAAGTTCCAGAATTGGGTGTCAAGTTTGGAGATCCACATTTCTCTCTAGCACATCTTTTTTTTTTTAGACTCATTTTATATTTAGGCCTATCTGCTTTACAAAGCCACCTGGCAGAAAGGTTTTTGGGGATAAGAGATTCCAACCCACTCCTCAATGCCACCCTTGAAACGAGGCAGTGATGCCTTTGTCAGGTACCTCTTCTTGAGCCTAAAACCCCCCCACAAACTCACAGAACATTTCTGCAACATTTATATCAAAACTTCCAATTCATAACCTCACCTTCCACTGACTGAAATTCTTGATTTAAAAAAATAATAATTTGCCAGCAGAGAGTTTAGAAACAAAGCCCTGCCATTCACTTAAACTATTTCAAAAAGTTACTAATATTGTTTTTAATGAGAGATTTCATAGCTCTACACACTCCTCATTGTTGTCTAAAGCCACAAGTACTCTGAACATTCCAGTCCCACTATTTCTAATTATTCTGTATGCAAAAATGACTGAAACCCTTACTCTGAAGTTTCAGGTTTCATTTTTCTATGCAGGCTCCATGAAAATATAAGGGAATGTAATTCACCTTCACTTACAATTCCTGTCACGTGTCACACTCCATTATCTCCCGGTAGCCCCGGGAAACATAAGGGAATATTAAACAAATAGGTAACGAGTTTTTACTGGACTTCCACTCACTTTAAAGTCAAATAATCCAAAGGCACCTCAAGTGCCTGATTTGTAGATAATGTCCTGTGCTGTTAAACAGGATTATTGGTACTAATAACAAACCCTTTTGTTCAGGAATATAAAATTCCAGCTGGAGTTACAAAATATTTCTCCCAATTCATTCTGACCTACCCAGTACAGTTTAAATTCCAATAAATCAAACTCTTTCCAAATAGATCTTAAAACACACAAAAGTGCTCCATTGCTGAATGGGGAAACCCCACACTTTCTGAATTTACAAACTGGTGTAACGTGTGGACAAATAAATAGATCTTTTTAAATCAGCTGCAGAAGGATCAGGACAAACTAAACATTACATAAAAAGTTTGTGTCTTCATTTCATTAGACTACTCAAATTAGATATAAAGCCACTTTTCCCACTTGACTTCCTCCTCACTTTGTGAGATTAAAGTACAAATCAATCAAACACCTAAACTGCTTCTAAAAAGAAATAGACCAGTTTTTAATATTTTAATTACCTGGTTGTTAAGTTACTACACTTCTCAGAGGAGAGATGACAGCAAGCATTCCCAAGTTTCGTATTCACTTGGAGAAACACTTTTAAAGAGAAAGACTTTTAAAGTCTCCTGCTAGGAGACTCTGGTGCTCAGCACCACGAGATGCTTGTTTGGAGAAATATGGGCTTCGTCAGGCACTTACACCAAAGAATCACTTGAAAGCACTGAAAAATCACTGAACACTATTAGGAAAGTAACTCACCACACTTTACTTTAAACTACAACAACCTCAGCAAGCATTACAGAGCAGAAATCACTGTCCTGGGTGGTTTTCCAGCTGTTCAAAGCACCAGCATCCTTCCGGACACCCCGAGTTATCCTTCGGACAGCCCGAGCATCCTTCCGGACACCCCTGGGTTATCCTTCGGGCAGCTCGAGCATCCCTCCTGGAGGCGCAGAAACCTCATCCCGCAGCCAGAGCCAACTTCCACCGAAACCAACCTGCGCAGCTGTCGGTTCCCACCGGCCATTCCCCGGCTGCTTTTCCTGCCCCAGGGAGCCGAGCCCGTCCCCGCCGGTGCCGCCCGTGCCCGTCCCCGCCCGCTCGCACCGCGGTTACCACACGCGCTCTGTTGCCAGGCTGTGGAAAAGCGTCTCCTCCACCCCCCTGGAGCCGCGGAGCGAGGGAAAAGCAGCGGGAGAACCTCGGGCACGCGGCGGGCTCGGGGCTGCGGGCAGGGAGCGGCCCCGGCGGGCGAAGCGCGACCCGCGAGTCCCCGAGCCCACACGGGAGCAGCCGGGCTGCCCTCCCCGAACCCACACGGGAGCAGCCGGGCTGCCCTCCCCGAACCCACACGGGAGCAGCCGGGCTGCCCTCCCCGAGCCCACACGGGAGCAGCCGGGCTGCCCTCCCCGAACCCGAGCCCACACGGGAGGAGCCGGGCTGCCCTCCCCATCCCCGAGCCCACACGGGAGCAGCCGGGCTGCCCTCCCCGAACCCGAGCCCACACGGGAGGAGCCGGGCTGCCCTCCCCATCCCCGAGCCCACACGGGAGCAGCCGGGCTGCCCTCCCCGAACCCGAACCCACACGGGAGCAGCCGGGCTGCCCTCCCCGCGGTGTCACCTCCCCCGGTTCCCTCACGGCCTCCCGAAGCGGCGGGCGGGGGTCCCGGCCCGAGCAGGGAGCGGGGCTGCAGAAAGGCCCCGCGGGACGAGGGACAACGCCGAGCTCACATTTCGCTGCTGTCGCTGCCCAGCCAGTCCCGGCCATGGAATTCTGATGTCACCGCGGGGCCAGGATGCGCGAGGACTCTGGGAATTGCAGTCTCCTCCCGCCCTTCCCGAGCTTTGGGATCCCCCCTTCCCGCCCAGTTTCGTGGGAGGCGCGGCTGGGCTGAGCCCTTCAATCAGGAAACGCTGGATCCCAACTGGGGCTTCGGGAAATGCGGCTTCTGCTCCCCAGTTAGCAGAGGTAATTTCGAAGTAATTATGCTCAGGTAATCATCATTCTATATAAATAAATAAGTAAGTAAGTAAATAATTAATTAATTAAACAAACAAACAAACAAATAAATAAATATTTTCTATTTTCTATTTATATTTTATATATTTTCTGTTTTCTATTTATATTTTATATATTTTATATACAATTGTAGATCTTTATAGAATTATAATAAATGTTATTATAATATAATAAAATATATTATTATATATAATAAATATATATAATTTATATATATATAAATATATATATTTATGTATATATTACATATATAAAATTGTATATATAATAAATACACTTTATATATACTTCATATATATTTTTATATATTTATGTATAAGTATATATAAATGCATATTTTATATATATTTTACATATACATTATATGTGTATATATATAATTAATTTATTCATAGATATTCAAAAGTATGTATATAAAAGTATGTGTATATATATGTATGTATATATATGTATTTATATATATAAAAGTATGTGTGTATATATGTCTGTGTGAAAGTACTTATACAGAAGTATATAAGTATAAATATATATATAAAATTACATAACTATAAAAGTATATATAAAAGTATGTTTATATGTATATCTTTACATATATTTATATATATTTGAAGTATATATGTGTATATATGTATATATTTATTTACATATATTTTATATATATTTAAAGTCTATATGTGTGTAAATGTACATATATCATTATATAACTATAAAAGCATATATATAAAAGTGTGTATATATGTATATACATTTAAATTGTATAAATATGTGTATATATTAATATATATATTTTATATATATTTATATGCATGTGTGAAAGTACATATACAAAAGTATAGAAGTATAAATAGATATATTAAATTATGTGTGTGTATATATATATGTGTAAAAGTACATGTATATAAAATTATATAACTATAAAAGTGTATATCAACATATATATGTGTATATATATAAACTATATATGTGTAAAAGTGTATAGATAAAGAATTTCAGTATCAACGTATATATTTATTAAAAGGTATATATAAATGTATATGTAGATACCTATTTATATGTGTCGGTGGAAGTACATATATTAAAGTATACAAGTAAAATATATATGTGAAAGTATGTGTATATATACACATATATATATTTTAAGTATATATATGTGTAAAAGTAAATATATAGAGAATTATATAACAATAAAAGTATATATATCAGTGTGTATATATATGTATATATCTTTAAACTATAAAAATATATATATATTAAAAATATATACATAAAAGTATGCATGTGTATATATATTTAAATGTGTTTGTGAAAGTAAATATATAAAAGTAAGTATAAATATATAAATGTATGTATATATGTTTATATATATTTTTAAGTATATATGTGTGAAAGTATATATATGAAATATATAACTACAATAATATATACATCAAAGTATATGTATATATATTTAAACCATATATGTGTGTGAAAGTGCATATACATAAAAGAATATCAGTATAAATATATACATAAATTATATAAAGTATATATGAAAATATATAAATGTATTTATTCATATAAAATATATATTAAAAAATAAATACATGTGGATATATTTATATATTCTGTATTTATATAAGTATATATGTATTCTTATTTCTATTAGCATATAGTTGTATGTATGTACTATATTTATATACTTGCATACATATATATTAAATAATAAAACAAATTAATATATATACATACGATAAAAGTGTATATATATTTGTATATTAGTTTATATACACTATACTTATACAGTAATAAATTATATATTTTAATATTCCAAACCCATTTAAGCTGTAATCGGGAAGCACAACCCAGAAAGGAAATTTTTATTGCTTTAATAGACAATAAATTATATAATTATATAATAGTTATATAATTATATTTATATTATATAGACTATATTAACAGATCATTTATATTATATTATATTTATATATCATTAGATTTCTTTAAGATAATAAAAATATTCAATACCATCGCATTTCACAGTAAAAGGATTTTACACCTCTTGTATCTCTGGGGTTTGGCATCTCAAATAATTCACTGGAATTAACGAGTTTTTGGTGCACTTCTGGTTTTGGTGGCACTTCTGTTCCTGTGTCCCCAGTGAAAGCAGCACTTGGCCCATCCCAGCTGTGCAACCATGAAGGAGAAATAAAAAGAATTAAGAATTAAGTTTATTTTAAGTAAAGGTTTGTTTTTCCATGCTCAGCTGATTTGCCTTCTTGCCTTTTTCAAGTATCTCAGTGACAGTTGCATTTTATCACCTTTTAAACTTTTTTTTTCCTTAATAAAGTCATGGTTTTCCTGCAATTCTTTGCCTGAGATTATAAATCCTGATCGTCCCCCTTTATTTTTAGCCCTACAAAAAAAAAATGAGCAAATGTAATTTCAACAAATAAATGTATCCAGAGACAATGGAAATGGCAAATGGATCCATCTTCATCTTTCTGAAGAAAATGATACAAAACCCAGTTAAAATGCAATTTAGCTGGGGTGCTGGGAAGTGGAGTCCATCATTAGTCAGGAATTATTAATCTTGAGACTGGAAAAAAAAAAGAGAAAGTGATGCATTTAAATTTAAATTTAAAAAGAAAATTTAACTTTAAAAAGAAATTTTAATTTTAAATTTAAAAAGAAAAACCACAAAAAACACATCCAAAAAAATTACAAAAGCTACCTCCGACATACATTCATTTAAATTAAACTCCAAAATATGAATAACAAAACAGAATGTGAGTGGCACACAGCACACAGCCTTCCCCAAATATTAAGTTAATTCCCTTTTCTGACACAGCAATAAGTAGGAAATGAGGTCAGCTCTCCCTAAAAACCCAACCTTTGTTTGCTGTGTTGCTGTTTCCCCTCTGCTTTTTGTCCCAAAACCTCCAATGACATTCCCAGACGCCCTCCAGCTCCTCCCAGCTGCCTGAAGTCAGCACAGCTGCAGAATAAAATAATATATAAAACTAAAATAAGAAGTTTCCACTTTTTTTTTTCCTCCTTCAAAACCGTGAAAGATCAGAAATCAGGGATGAAGGAAAACAGAGAAAGCCCAAATATTTCCAGAGTTGTGGCAGAAGAGCAATGAAGTACAAAATCTGATTTTAGTGGGAGGAGGAGACAGCAGAATTCCACACTCATTTGGCCTGGACAGAGGGAAAGAGAGGAAATCCAGATACAAATCCACAAAAAACTGTTTAGGCAGAAATTATTTCCGCTGGCTCAAAATCAGCGGGCTACAGAAAAAAAAAAAACAAACCCCAAGACTTTTCCTTGAAGGGTTCACTGTCAAAAAAAGCAAAATAATACACAGGGAATGGGTTGGTAAAAAAAAGGATTTAAAGCCAAAATGGAGTTTTATCTTTGTTTCCATCCAGCAGAAATTGTGCTCCAAAAAAGTCAAAAATTAGAAGTAGTAGGAGCTACATCCTCCTCTCAAAATAACATTCAAAATGCCACAGTGCCCATGCAGAGAGTGGTTTCAGCAGGGAAAAGGGGATGAAAGCTGCCAAATTTTCCAGCCCTGAAAACCCAGGAGAAATTGAGCCTCCTGGAAAAGCAGCACCAAGGTAGCCCATGAGGAATAAATCCTATTATTGGCT